ATGTCTAGATTTAGATGTTCACGGGTTAGGTGTAACAAGTCGATCGGTGTGATATAGCCAGCTGCCGCCGCGCCGCGTGCCCGCGAAGCTGGTATGTTACGTTGAAGGGCGGTTATACCGGCTATACAGATACAGAAGCTGGTGTGTTGCACCGAAGGGTGGTTATACCGGCTATACAGATACAGAAGCTGGTGTGTTGCGCCGAAGGGTGGTTATACCGGCTATACAGATACAGAAATCTGATATAGCTTGTTTTATTTTTTGTGAGCAACATGAGTTATTCCGTGGAGGGACGATTTTGCTGCCAATTAAGGAGTTTTGCTGCGGAGAGAAGGTTTGGTGGCAAAACTCCCCCGGCGGCAAAATTATCCCTCCGCAGAATAACTTGCGTCACTCACCAAAAAAAAAATAAAACTGCAGCCCAACAAGTCTGCGAAGGAGGCTATAAACCGTTTAGTATGCTGCGCAGGGCGGCAGGTCTACTCTGTATGCAAGTTGGGGTCAAATTGCACCGGCGATGCTGGTAGTGCCTCAAGTGATTCTTTCCATCTCAAATTTCTCAAGTTACACACAAAAAAACTCATACTTTCCAAAATGATATCTTAATAATTTATAATAATCTTTTTACTGAATTAGATGATTGTAAATGTTCTCAAATTCAAACGTAAAAAATGTGAAACTTGAAAATTATTTGGTATACACAATTTGACTCTTAACATTAAGAGACAAGAATCATTTTGATCTATGGTCAGGCCCCAGCATGCATGTAAGAGGTAGCAATTTTGAAATGTGATATCAGCGCTGAAATGCCAGACGATGCAAAATCGTTACTGATCCCAAAATGTTACGATACAGAAATTTTGTCCAAATATTTTACTTGATTTAACGAAAGAAAATTGAGTCTCAGATTTCATCCAAGACCATAAATTTTCCGTCCGTTCTTGGCCGACAAGAAACCCCCTCCTTGTACCCCAGCAGGAGCCTACAGGAGGCTGACAACGCCATAAAACATGGTGAACATGTCTTTAATATGCAGGACCAGGCAACATGCAGTATAACAGGCCTTTCTGGGATCTCAAGATGATGCAGCTTCACTATTACTGTGTCTGCTGTTGGCAAATCATAGGCAATGGGCAGCGTCAACGTTCGAAAGGTCAAGTTCTATACCCAGAAAAATAATTATTATGCACTTCACATTGTATCTGATAAAAGGTATCCATCCTTCTTAGATGTGCAGCATCACTATAATTATACCGTGTCTACTGTTGGCGGTGGACAGCGTTAAACTTTCGAAAGGTCAAATTCTTCCCAGAAAAATAATTATTCTGCATAATTATATACCGGTACTGTAAATCACTATATGTTTGCAGTAGCAAAAGTTTGCGGTCTGAGAAAAATGGACATGTTCAAGGAACAACATTAAATTTTGCAGGTACAGCAATAAGTGATGGCGAAAAACGTGAATATAAAATTACCACAAAAAAACTTGTGATTTACAGTATTGTATATTTTGATAAAGGTGCAAATCATAAAATTATCACACAACAGTTCTCTTGGTTGTGCTTGAAACTTTAGTGAGAGGTTTTCGATGCAGTCTGTATACGGGTCAAAAAGGTTAGTGGTCATTAATATAATGGGAAAAACATTAAATTCCCATGATGCTCCTTTGCAGGTAATGGCCTATCAAAAATCACTTCTACATAATGTGTGGTAGAGAAAAAGCTGAACTGTTCCACAGATTAAAGCTCTTCAATTTCCTTCTTTGCTTAAGTGCTGATCAAATTTTGAAGAGAGCTTGCCATCTTAAGTTAGTAAAAAAAATTTTGTTCACTGTTCTTCTTGTATTATGTTATTGTGGTACATGTACATGTATTTTGTGTCTTTCTGTATTCAATCGGAGATTCCAGACTTCTGGCGAGCATTTTAGATTTTTGTGACTTTTTAGTTCACCCTATTTCCTGTGTCTGACCAATTTTACCCACCCATGTGCTGTCAACCTACTCTGCCAGACAAACAAATACACAGTATAGCCACCCAAAACAATACCTCCAAGGCAAGAGGGTTAGCCAAATTTTCTTTTAGTAAATGCTGCACTCTCATACTGGACCATGTACTTTGGCAGGATGCCCACAAACGCATAGGACTTTTCTGTCACTCTGCCAGTCAATCTACCCCCCATGTGCTGTCAACCTACTCTGTCCAGACAAAGCAGGAGGGTTAGTCTAATAATTGCCCCAAGAAAGACTGCTAGCTGCACTCCTACACTGGACCATGCACTTTGGCAGAATGCCCACAGATGCTTCGATGGAAAGTCAATTATGATCGCGGCATTACAAGGCAATCGTTTTCGGTTATGCCTCCCGAGAAACGATCTTCGTTATCAACGTCGTTATGTGGTTGTTTTAATGGGTTAGTTTTTTTTTACCACAATTAGGAAGGAGCGGGTAGATTTATGGTCGGGCAACGTGGAAAATAGGTTAAGACGAAGACGTGAGTGAATTTCTGTGGTAAACTACAATGTACTAGTAAATCCAAGTAAAGTACTGCAATATTGAGTGTGTGTGTTAGATCAGTGATGCAAAAGCTGCAGCGGGAAAATATATTACTACTGTAAATCGTTTAACTTTTGCTGAGGACTTATTTTCGTCATGACCTCCCCACCGAAAATTAATGACACCATGAACATGCCTTCCTTGTATTACTAACGTAACATGTTCATTTGAAATAGTATCATTATATTACTATTATTGTATCATTTATAGTATGTATAGGTAATGCTAGTGTTTTGTCTTTTTATTGTTAATTATCATATTTAAGGTTATGTTTCAACTGGAAATTAAAAACTTCCTCTCCTTCTGCAAAATAAAATCATCCGAAATGTTTCTGAATTTACAGTAGCTTTGATGCCGATAAAGATCATTCAATGTAAGCTGTAAGGAAGGGTAAGTGCAGCTATAAGACTCTAGGAGTCATCTACAATAGGCTGCTACGATTCCGTTTGCACTCAGATAGAAACAAACACTCGACCTTGAACCTGCCAATTCACTGACCTTGAAGAAAGGGTCCACAGTAAGGTTTTGCTCCTTGGAGCTTCAAGAAAATTTTATCATTTAATCCTTTTATGGTTTTTCAGTATAGTTTGTACTTTTTTTCGTGTTTTCCCTTATTTTGTTGCAAGACAATGTCTTGAAGTCTTGATTTTTTTTCACTGTTTCACTTAAGGATTGTCCAGCATTAGATAAAAATTATCACTGTTTAAAAATCATATTCATAAAGCATCAATCACATTGTGAGATGTACATATTTTACTGTAAGTTATGATATTACAGAATTCTCCAATTGACAGGGAAAGCATAAATAATACATTCAATTTCATTCTATACCAGTTTTCAATAAAATTGCAATATGGAGATGGCAGATCAGGTTTCAAAATTCACTCAAGAGCAGGTGTGCCGAACGCCCTGATTGGTCCACTTGGGACCCATTTTGGACCAACAGCTTTCAGCCAGCCAACCGGAAAGGAGCTTATTGATATGCACGGCCACAGGTGAAGACCTGACATTTTCGCAGGCAGTCATAGTAATAGAATCAGAGGCAGTTTCAGGGCTCGAAATTCATTTTTGAGAATAGGTGCTCTGGTGCACCCAACCTAAAAAATTAGGTGCAGAAAAAACTTTTTGGGTGTACCATATAAAACAAACCCTAATGACAGATCTGAATGCTCCTCTTCTGAGCTTAAATCTGAAATAGGGGCTAACTTCAAAATCTTAAACAAGTACTACAACAAAGATAAAAAAATTTCTGGCACTTAGATTCCAAGAATATCATGTATACTATGATCACACATTTGATATGTGCAAAAATAGCAACAAAAATATTTGGGTGCACCAGTGCACCAACAGAAAAAAAATTGGGTGCACAGCTCCAATTTTGGGTGCACTAAGGTGCTTATGCACCCAGTATTTCCAGCCCTGCAGTATTCAGTACAGAGAACGCACATTACACCACAAAAGCTTGTCTTTATGGCTGACATTACCGAGCTCGTTGCATTCTGTCAGGTTTTCAGGTGCAGTTGTGAGCCTACTGTAAATCGTGAAACTTTCGCGGTGGTTTTATTTTCTGGTTTTCGTACAACATACCGCGAATTTATTTACACCACAAATTTGTCTTCCTTGTATCACTACTGTACTATACAGAATTGTTTCAACCGCAAAATTTAAATTTAAAACACCGTAAAAACCTCCCTTTTTCTCCTATCACGAAATAAAACCAGGGTGAAAGTTTCATGACTTACAGTAGATTGTCGGAAACATTATGTTGCGAAATAGTCACTGAAAAACAAGCTGTATTTTTTAACATTGGTGTTGAACGCTCTGTAGGATACTGTCCACAAAATCAAGTAATAAGTGGCCTTAAGATATAGGATGTACAACTGACACTGGCAATTAAACGGTCTGTTTCACTACCGAATTCTGACCGAAAATCTTGTCAATCGTAACCTGGTGAATGACATTTACGTTTTTGCAATGACTCTCCAAAAATGTGGTCATGCTGTGAGTGAAAATAGTTCTGATTTTTCTCGTACATTGTTGAAATATTCCCAAAGGTGTTTTCGTAGCTCGCCGTCATTTGAAATTATACGGACACGCTGTCATATGCCATTACATGGACAGAACAGGGAAACATTCAGGCTTTTCGCATGACACGAACACAAATCAGGTGTGACGGCTGTATGATCACATTCTGTGTAGCGTCCTAATCATCGTTAACATTCATGGCTCTGTAAAGTCTGAGGTACATGTACATTAAATGCCATGCAGCTAATCTACAGTAATTCATGCCTGGTTCAATCCAAGTATTTTGGTTTAGGAACAGTGAGAAATGTAGACCTTGGCAGGATAATTACGGTTGTTTTTTTAAACCTGTTAAACATACATTGTATTAGGGAAGCGAGTGTGGGAGCCCCGGCATACAAGTAGGATGGTACCTAGGCTACATACATTGTACTCTGTAAATGCAAAATCTTTGTCTGAGGTACATGTACATTAAATGCCATGCAGCAAATCTACAGTAGTTCACGGCCGATGCTATATCTTTTGTGAATCAGAGACAGTGAGAAATGTAGAATACTTCGCAGAATTATTGTGGTCGTGTTTTGAAACCCGTTAAAAGTACACTCCAAAAACTTTGTCTGAGTTACATGTATATTAAATGCCATGCAGCAAATCTACAGTACATGTAGGTTCAATTTCAGTGTTGTGGTTCAGAGACAGCTAGTGAGAAATGTAGAATACTTCTTGCAGGATAATTCTGATCGTGTTTTGAAACCCGTTAAACGTACATTGTAAAATGCAGAAACTTTTGCGGTGGATATATTTTCGCAGTGATCACTGCAAATACATACATGTACTGAGTTGTTTCAATCGCAAATTTAAACCACAGCAAAACCACCTTTTCCCTTCTTCTGAAAAATATAACCACCGCAAAATTAAATGCATTTACAGTTACCTAACTCTGCTTTTCCTCCACAAGTCAGTTTAGAGTATAACAGTCACAACTTTTTTACAACCTACAAATTCACCAAACCTGTATTTTTTCTGCTTTTAAAACTTTGTCTTGTACAAAGGTATCACAGCATTTCAAATTAAAAGGTACATTTCTTTAGGAATATTACGTTGCTGTAAGAGTAGTATTGGCCTGATTTCAATAAGTTTTAAAAGGCCAGGATTGTTTTTCTCTCATTTGTATTTTGTAATTGTTTTCTTCATTTTTCCAACTTTTTCTCTGCAGAATTAATTCTTAAAGGATATTTTATTTCAATATATATCTTTTAGCTGGATGGTTTCAGAATAAAAGCTGTATAGTAGTTCCAACAATGCAGGCTGTCATGAGTATAGCAATCGTCCATTTTAATTTAATCAGCTCGGCATCCAGCCATCAGTGAATTCAAAGTTCAAAGGTGAGGTTCAAAGTTCAAAGTTGATTGCAACACTGGAAGACTGTGAGGTTTCCATGGAGACGTGATGTCATCAGTAGCACCCCTCCTTCCAGTTGTCGACGTCGCCCCTCATCCCGCCCCGCACCCCTGCCCTGGGGATTCCACTCCCGGGGGTGGGGATTCCACTGGAGAAAAACAGACAAAACATTTGTTAGTAATTTATGATATAAAAGTTCCCATTTCTGTGAATAGCTGGAATACTTACTTCCACTGGGAAAACATTTTTGTTAGTAGTTTACATTGTATAACTTAAAGTTTCCTATTTCATGAATAGTTGGTATGTCGATGAAAGACATCTAGGTAATGAGATGCCAA